ATACCTAGGGAAAACCAGAACTAGAAGCGAATGGTAACTTTCTTTACAAAATAGTCATTACAAAATTTTACAAAGAGGTGGCCAACACTTAGAAGAGATTTTGTAAATATTTTGTAAACTTTTCTAATGTTTTTCTATAATCTTCTGGGGGCATATGGCAACGGGGAAACGCCTCCTGCAAAACATCCTGGGTCCAGTGTAGTATTGATCAGATTATTGTAAAATTTGAATGCTCTTACTTGGAGGAGGGATTTTGGTTCATTATAAAGGATCATTTGGCACTATATGAGAAGAGCATATTATCTGGAGGCCAATCTTGTGTTTTGCTAAATCCTGGACTCCCAAAAGCCCTTCTGCTCTCCTTGTCCACTGGGATGGGAGACACTGGGATGGAGACAGTTACTCAAGTCCCTGGAGACAGCTGATCTCAGCCAGAAACCATAACTCAGCTTCTTACTCATCAAACTAGGAGTAAGGAGGACAATGGGTGATACATAGGTATGTTTCTTCGTCGGGCTTATGAATCAGGGTCATAGCTTGGGGGAACGATTTCTTTGCCATTAGCCTGCTTACAGAGTTTGGCCTTATTTTCCTGACATTGCCTAGTGGCTGGTAACACCTGAATCTCAGAATAGAGACAATGGAACCTCTGCAGGAACAAAGAAGCATTATAAATCACTTTCCTCCAGAAGAGGTCTGAATTGCCTTACGGTATTTGTTCTCTCAAAAAAGTTAGCATTTGCCTTGGACTACTTTATCGTGACAAACAGAATTGTTTTTGTTGTTGTTACAGTTCTTTCTCTTCAGAATGGCACATACCAGTTTTTCAGCTGGATCCCCCACGGCCCTACACGAGGGATGTTTCTCCTGTGGTGGGTCCTGTGGTCCCACGTCCTTGAAGCTGCCCCGGGAAAGCTGCGAGGCGATTGTCTGCTCCCCCACTCTATTTATACACAGCTATTGAAAGTTAGAGGCTTTCTCCGGGGCTTGGCCTCTCTAATTGAAGTATGAAACACAATTCCCATTAAGATGCCACTTGAAGTGAGGAAACCGTATTCATATCCTGTGAGCAAATGTGGAGTTTTCCACTCAGGCCCCTTTCAATGTCTCAGTTCCTGAACGCAAGAATGGGGTGTCAGAGCTTCGTGTTTCCGGGATTTAGGATGGGGGATCCGAGGAGCGCTGCCTCATGACTTGGGGAAACTTCTCTATTCTGAGAAACTCACAGTTATTTATCCCTAGGATAATTACTCACTTCTAATTCAGGGCAGAGTCAGTGGGGACGCGAGAGTCTTGCGCCGTGATTCATTCCGTTCTTTCACGGGGATTAAGTGCCCGACTGGACGGAGTACAATGTGAGTTGCATCATTTCTACTACAAATGAGAGCAATATGCGATAGTAAGGAATGGATCCTCTCCAAAGTCTAATTCTGCTTTCTGTCAACAGCAGGATTAGCTTTAAGGGTGTTCTTTCTTTCTCTTTCTTTTTTTTTTTTTTTTTTTTATCTTTAAGTACCTCTGATTCTAATGTCACATGCAAGAGGCGCTCAGAAATGCCACCAGTGCAGAAAACACGTGGCAAGACCTCCCGTTTCTCATCTTCCAGCGGACCCTTAAGTGGTGGTCCTTTGAGGCTGGCCTTTGTCTGAATTGTGGGAACAAGGCTCCGGGACAGGGGCTGTCTCTAAGTGGCGCTTGGGCCATCTCTGTGCTGGTGTACACACATGAGGACAGTGGCCGGTAGGACACACTCACTCACCTGGCAGAGGGGAAGAGAGCTTCAGGAAAGGGAGTGAATTCATGTGACAAAGAGGGGAGTGTGAGTGTGTGTGAAATTAGGAGCCAGAATTATTAGAATCAAGATGATAGGTGTAGAACGATGATACAGACAGCTACCAAGAAAATAGGAAGCTATAAATATAAACACAAAGGGATGAATTTAGCAGAAGACGAATGTACACTTTATCTTCCCAGAGAGCATAAGCTTTTTATGCTGTTACAGTTATTGGCAAGAAATCTCTGGGAATCAGATGGACAAAATTATTATGGTCTTTTTATAACCAATGGCAACTTGCATAGGCTTTGGAAGACAATATCTTCTGGGGGCCGTAGGGCTGGGACAGATGTTAAGAGATAAAAGCTCTTGTCCTGGTCCTATCAATAGACAAGTCACGTGACCTCTAAGGGCCTCAGTTTTCCCATGCATAAATGGGCTAATGGATTATAAAGTTCCTTTCATTGTTGAGGTAATCAACATGAAAATGCAATTTTAAATGAGAATTTTTGAACTTTCTTCATAAAAAAATGAACGTTCTCTCATTCTTCTGATTCACTTTAACCTCTGTTTCCTTCAGAAGACAACTGTAAAAGATTTCTGTTTTTTTCTAAAAATAGGTGTCCATTTAAAAGATAACTATATTGGGTGACACTGTGGGGCTCAGGGGAGTGGGGCGCTGGCTCCATATACCAGAGGTGGCGGGTTCAAACCAAGCCCCAGCCCAAAAAAAAAAAAAAAAAATACAAAAAATAAAAAATAAAAGATAACTATAAATAAAGTAAGCAGAAGTATTCAGATTTAGGGTTACAAATGTTTATGATTGATGTTATCTGAAGCTTTAGTTATTTGTTCTTAAATGTGTGCATTTATTCCTAATGCCTTTGCAGGACTGTATTTTTTTCCTGCTCGCTGAGGATAATTTGTTATCTCTTCCAAGAGAAAAAAAGAATGGAAGGAAGGAATAAAAGGAAAGAAAGAGAAGGAGGAAGGGGAGAAAGGAGTGAAGGAGAGCAGAGTGGAGGAAGCGGCTATTTGAAAAACTTAGGGTGTCTCCTGTTTCAATTATGTGTTCAACATCACTTTGTCACCCCTAAGCCATCACTTTGTCATACAACAAATGACAGGGGTTCTTTTGTATGTGAGGGGTTATCCCTCTACTCCAAAGCAAACACACAGACCCACACACTGACTTACTACTCTCAGAAGGGCTGCCCTCCTTGTTCCTGCTTCCTCGCCTCCAATGACCTCTTCACCCCCCACCAGGCTGACCTCTGGTCCCAGCCACCACTGGAACCGGCTGGCCACGGCTGCCCAGTGGACACACCTGGCTCACTCCCTACAGCAATGAACTCTATGAACTGCATTTTCCTTCCTGAAATTCTCCTCACTCAAAGACCCCATGGCACTAACCTTTCCTGTTTTTCATTTTCCCTACTTCTTGGTCATCTACTAAAATTCCTCCTTGCCCTAAATTGTCTTTGTTTACCAAGCCAAGTGTCCTTGGCCTCCTTTTCTTCCCCACACTCTCATGCTGGGTAATTTCTCTCCCACAATTTTTTATCTCAAGTCCAGATCTCTGAAGCTCCAGGCTAGCGTTTCCAGCTGCCTGCTGGAATTCTCCGCCCACAGGCATCTTACATGCATCTTAACGTTTTGTTCAAAATTCGACTCTTTATCTCCCAGGGAAATCTGCTCCTCTTCCTGCATTTCCTGTCTCAGTAAATGGCCCCATTATCTACCTCAGCCTGGAATCATCCTCTCATCCCTCACCGCGGATCAATTCCCCAGACCATCCCCTTCTCTGCGTTTCTGTTGTCACAGCACAGGACTGGACCATTTCTCACCCGAATTGCTCTCACAGCCTTCTATTTGTGCTTCTGATTCCAACCTTTCTGCCATCTCTGCTCCATCCTGCAACCAGAAAGATTTTCTGAAAAGAAATCATCTAATGACATCACCCCACTTCGTCACCCCCCCATGCTTAAAAGCCCTTCTGAGCTTTTCCAGTAACTCCACGTGAAAGTCTAAAGCGTTCATCTCGAGGTGACAGCGGTTGTGCCCATCTCTCTTTCTGTCTCCCAGCATACCCCTGTGCCCTGCCAGCCTGTACTAACCGCAGCCTGGGAACCAGACCTGCCCTTTCCAACAACTGCATTTCACGTCTGCTCCCCCTACCTTGGCTTGGTGGACCACGATTGCCTTCTTGCCTTCTATTCCTCCTGGTGCTGAGCTGCTGAAGGAGAGGCTGGCGTCTCACACTTCTCACTCCAGTGCAGCATAATGCAAAACTCCGTGCATGCACTGAAACCTAGGATCTGGATAGCGAGTTGCGCGCAGAAGTTACTTTGTAACTGCTACATGAATGCAGCATGTTTTATTTTCTCTTTTATCCTTAATTTTATCAAATTATATATGTACAGCTATTATTTTTTCTAATAGAAAGCAAATTTTGGTTTATTTCCATGTCAATTTCCTAATGGACATTATTAAACCATCTCGTCAGCCGTCATCCACAAGTTCCTTTGAAGATCTCCATTGGAATCCTTCAGACATTTTTCTTTACTATTCTGAATTAGGGGCTTATTGTCAAGTTAAGGAAAGCACAATTTTATATTTTCCCATAAAATAAAAAGTGCATGTGTAGATTTTTCTTTCAAGAGAATCAATATTTAAATTTCTTGATAATAATGTTGCTCCCCAATTTATTTTGCGAATAATGAATGAAACTTACCACACCTGATGGTTTCAGCTCAGTGAGTCACCTGTTGCCCTCTTAGGCTGTGAAAGCTGCAGGGACATGGCCCATCACTGTTTTTCCAACACCGTATCTCCAGCTCCACACCTTATCCATAATAGGCTCTTTTTTTTTTTTTTTTTT